CAATCCCAGCCCTTGAGCAAACCAGCTGCTAAGGCAGTATCACAGGGGTGAACCTACTATTTCCATGGGATCTGCTCCTAGACCCAGCTCTCTTGTGAGCTGGTTAATGACATGACCCAGCTAAACAAGATCCACACTCTATACTGACACTCACTGGGCACATACTGTGGTTGAGCCTTGTCAGGCAGGCAGGCCCCCATCGTGTGTGTGTGTGTGTGTGTGTGTGTGTGTGTGCCAGTAGGCAGTGATTGATGTCAATACCCAGCTTAGGTCTCCAATTTCAGTACGTGCGTTGGTTTAGCCTCAAAAATTTCCCCATGTTCCTTTCTCTAAACTACCTGGTCTCAGGCCCCTTGTTTACCTGCAAGTTCAGCAGCCTGGTTGGAGGAATCCCTCCAGAAATCACCTCATCAGTCAGGCTCTCTTTCAGTGGTCCTCTCTTCCCCAACATCTGTCGACCTGTTTTCCTGAGCAATCAGGAGCTCCACATGCCTACTAGCACACAGAATCCAAACCCTGCCCTCTGGTGATGTGTTGTGCCAACCTCAGGCCCTACATGCCTATGAAGGTCCACGAATATTTATGCACTGTGTCAAGACCCTGTCTACTGATATACAGGGATCTGGTCCCCCATATCTGAAAGAAAAAGAGAGAGAAAGAGAGAAAGAGAGAAAGAGAGAAAGAAAAGAAAGAAAGAAAGAAAGAAAGAAAGAAAGAAAGAAAGAAAGAAAGAAAGAAAGAAAGAAAGAAAGAAAGAAAGAGCGGGCAAGTGGGGAGGGAAGGAGAAAGGGAGAAAGAAAGAAAAGAAAATAGGCAACTATGCTGATACACTGGTATGGTTAAAACAAATTTGGCATTAACCAGGCCCAAGATACCTGTCAGCAATTAGCTGTTTTCTCCCAGCAGTGTAACATTTGCTAGGTACAATGCAACCTAGACAGTCACTTACAGCTCGGGTTCATGATTAGTATTTGCAAAGAACAAGCTTTATTGGTCATCTCTACTGTTCTTGAAAATTTTGTTTACTTTTTCATTTAAAATATTTTTATAAAAATTTAAATTTATAAATTTATTTGAAAAGGCAGGAGAGAGAGAGCGATCTACCATCCTCTAGTGCACCCCCCAAACAGCTGCAAATAGCTGCAGTCAGGCCTGTCCAAATCCAAGAGCCATGAGCCTCCTCCTGGTCTCCAATGTGGGTATCAGGAACTCAAAAAAGCAGGTAATGTGAGGTGGGAAATCTGGGACTGATTCTCAGCTCTGTCCCTTACTAGATGGATGGGCTGGAGCAATCGGGGTGTTCATAAACCAGTGGATTTTTTTTTCTATCTTAAAACATTTATTTATTCAAAAAGCAGAATTTCAGGGAGAGAGAGGAAAAGGAACAGGGAGACGAATAAAGAGAAAAATGACACAGAGAGAGAAAGAGATATCTTGCATTTGCATCTGCTGGTTCACTCCTCAGATATCTACGAAAGTCAGGGCTAGATCAGGCTAAAGCCAAGAATCAAGAGCTTCTTCTGAATCCCCCACAAGGGTAGCAGGCCCCAACCACTTGAGCTGCCTTCTGCCAAATTTCCAGGACATTAGCAGGGAGCTGAATTGGAAGTGGAACAGCTGGGACATAAACTGGTGCCCACATGGGATGCCGGTATCACAAGTGGCAGCTTTACCTGATGTACCACAACACAATCCCCACTCAATGGTTCTCAACATGCAGGTTGCCCTGAGCAGCACTGCCATCTCCTAGTGTTTAAAATGTGAATTATTGGGCTTGGCACAGTGCCTAGTGGCTAAAGTCCTTGCCTTGAATGTGCCTGAATCCCATGTGGGTACCAGTTCTGGTCCTGGTGGCCCCACTTCCTATCCAGCTCTCAGCTTGTGACCTGGGAGGGCAGTCAAGGAAGACCCAATGACTTGGGATCCTGAACCCCTGTGGGAGACTCTGAGGAGGATCCTGGCTCCTAGCTTTGGCTTGGCTCAGCTCTGGCCATTGCAGTCAGTTGGGGGGTGAGTCATCAGACCAAAGATCTTCCTCTCTGTCCCTCCTCCTCTCTGTATATATGACTGCAATAAAATAAATAAATAAATCTTTTAAAAATGTATGAATTATTGGGCCTGGCAAGTATCCTAATGGTGAAAGTCCTTGCCTTGTATGCATTAGAATCCCATATGTGTGCCAGTCCATGTCCCAACTATACCACTTCCCAACCAGATCACTGCTTTGTGGCCTGAGAAAGCAATGGGGACCCTGCATCGCTGTGGGAGACCTGAAAAAATCTCCTGATTCCTAACTTTGGACTCACTCAGTTCCTGCTGTCGTGGCCCTTGGGGATTGAACCAGTGGGTGGAACATTTCTCTGTCTCTCTTTCTCTCTGTAAATCTGACATTCCAATAAAGGTAAAATAAGTATTTTAAAATAAATACATAAAAATAAAATGTGAGTAAACCCAGCAGAGGCATGCCTTCTTCAAAAGAGAATGGAACCCTGTTAGGTCACTGTATCAGTTTTCTATTGAATTCCTTGGGGTCAAATTATAGGAATTGACATGGCACAGACTGTGACTGCTACGCCCCACATTCACTATCATCAGCTAATGATTTGTGATCAGGAAACAGAGTGAACTTAGTACAAATATCAGTACACAGCTGTCATAAGGATATTCTTACAGCACACAGTTCTGTGGCCTTGGACTGTTGTCCAACTGCAGATAATTCCCCACAGGTTCTGTCTGTGCTCTCTGGCACCAGTGTTCTATGAAGTCAAGATTGCAGGCACAGTCCTCCCTGCTCTTCTAATTAATTCAAGTTGCTTGTAAACTTCAGGCAGCCGTGGGTCTATGGGACAGTGGTAAAATCACTTCTTGGATGCCTGCATCTGTGTGGGACACACTACTTGGAGTCCCAGCCCTTCCAGTTCCAATTCAGCTTCCTGATCATGTGCACACCTGGAAGGCAGCAGGTGACGATCAAATATTTTGGGTCCTGTCACCCATGTGGGAGACCTGTGCTGAGTTCTTGGGTGCTGGATCCAGCCTGGCTCAACAGCAAGAATATTATGGCACTTGAGGAGTGAACCAGAGGATAAAGGCTTCTCTCTCTCTCTCTTTGAGATTCAAATGAAAAACTAGAATATAAGTAAGAATTTAGAAGGTGAATAATCAAGTCTTTACCCTAGCTTGAGATTTAGCCAATCTGAGCTGTAACAAGGCTTTCAGGCCATCTGATGCTTGGTTTCCCCAAGAATGGTTAAAGATATTTTCTCACAGAAGAAACTCAAAGGAAGTCAGGGTCATAGACAGGAAGATGTCTGCAGATAGGGAGACCCGAGGTAATAGAGTGGTGGGGAGGAAGGCACCCTCCTAAAGGCATTCAAATTTCCATTTTTTATGTTACCATGCCCTCAAAGGAGACCTGAATAAAAGTTAAATTCTGTTTCCAGGGAGCAGCAGTTTGGGTGAGTACAGGTTACAAAACACTGCTTTAATTTAGCCTTAAAACAATCAGAGAGGCTTGGAAGTAGAACATTTGCAAAAGCCTTTGGCTTCCAATAGTTGCTATGACTATGGTAGTCACGTAATTTATCATCTAAAGGGGACATTTTTGAGAAACGAAGGGCATAGTGTTAATAATTATACCAGGGCAAAGGGAAAACCAGGTGGAATGTATGGCCTGTCTATGATCATAAAATCATTCACCATCCCTGCTGACCTAAGATAAGCATCAGATAAAAGTGATCAGTGTGCTTTTGTTTTACATTTAGGACAAAATCTACAGGAAAAGCAAGTCAGGAATCAGAGTCCACATGAAAAAGGAAGAAACACAGAATAATCATTACACACACACACACACACACACACACACACACACACACACACACAGATACACACACACAGAAATTTGGAGCCTTGGAGGGGAAAGTTCCACAAAAGATAGAGCTGTAGCTGGTGTGCATCAGGAAGAGCTCCACCAGGTTCAGGAATACTGTGGAAAACAGAATGAAGTTCAGAAAGGAAGTTTCTGGGGTCAGTGCAGTGGAGTAACAAGTTAAGCCTCTGCCTACAATACTAGCATCTCAGGTGGGTGCCAAGTTGTGCCTTGGGTGCTACACTTCCCAATCCAGCTTCCTGCTGATGTGACTGGGGGCGGGGGGTGAAGGATGGCCCAAGTGCTTGTACCTGCGTCTGCACCAATGTGGGAGACCCAGAGGAAGATCCTGGCTTCTGGCTTTGGAATGGCTCAGCGTTGGCCATTGTGGTCATCTTGGGGATCATCCAGTAGAAGATCTCTGTCTTCCTTAGATTCTCCATCACTCTCTTTGTAACTGTCTCAGAGATAAGTAAATCTGAAACAAAACAAAAGAAACTAAAACAAAAACAGAAAGAGTTCCTTGTGTCTTCCACTTGACTGAGAACCCCTCAAGAGAGGAATGGTTTGTGATGGTGATTGTATCTTCCATGTTTTAAAAAGATTCTTCAAAGAGGAGCCACATTACCTGTAGTAGATCTAATCTCCCTGCCATCTCTCTCTCTCTCTCTCTCTCTCAGTTTGGCTGTACCTGTAGGAGATGCCCAAAGCCTTGCCACCCAACTACTCCACCCTCTTTCTAATGCTGCTGGAAAGTCCTCTGTGACTGGACTTTATTGCCCAGGCCCTTCTGATCCAGTCACCTGCCTTATACTCAACCAGTCCAAGGTCCAATATCATCTAACATATTTATAACCAGCAAATATACTTTCTCAGTAGCCATTTTTTTCCTAAGAAGTGACTGGATAGGATTATCCTTCTGATTCCCCTCTACAGAATGCTCACTGGGCTGAAAATCTTACTTCTTTGAATCACATTTTTCTCTCTCTTCTTTTCCTCCCCCTTTGCTCCCATGGTTGATTGACAGATTCTTTGACTTCTGCCTGCTCTCTTTCCTTCTCTCTTTTGGCACTGGTGCCCACTGCCAACTTACAGGATTCCTACAGATGAGGATCAGCCTGGATGTTCTGCCATGGCCAGCCAATGGGTTTCTACCAATCTGGAAGAGGAAGTGACCTGCCCCATCTGCCTGGACATTCTGAAGGACCCTGTCACCATTGAGTGCGGGCACAACTTCTGCCATTTTTGCACCACTCAGCTTCAGGAAGCTTCTAGGTATCACATCAAATGTCCCCTCTGCAAAAGTTCTATGAAAAGGGACACATATGCACCCAACTGGCTGTTGACAAATCTGATACAGAAAATTCGAGCTATGGATCCCTCTGAGAGGCAGCTGAAAGAAAAGGAGCTGAGATGTCCAAAGCATGGGGAGAAGCTGCACTATGTCTGTGAAGCAGATGGGGAATTCCTCTGTGTGGTGTGTCATGACTCAAAGGACCACAAATTACATGAATCCAGACTGATAGAAGAAGCTGTCGAGCATCACCAGGTAAGCACGGAGGCTCCACTTTGCGAATGGGAGTTTGGTGGAGATTGCAAACTGTTGTCTCCTTTCTGTGGGTTTGTTCTCTGTGGCTATTGCAAGAACTACTTAACCAGGTCCACTGAGCTCCTGGTTCTAGTCCAAGGAACTGCTGTCCTTGCAAACAAGGGAATAATGGAGGATGGAAAAAAGAGAGAAGGAGAGACAGAGAGGGGAAGATTTCCCATCCACTGGTTCACTCCCCAGGTGCAGTGCCAGTCCTAACTGAGCCGATCTGAAGCCAAGACCCAGGAACTTCCTGTAGGTCTCCAAGTTGGGTGCAGGGTCCCAAGGCTTTGGACCATCCTCTGCTACTTCCCAGGCCAGAAACAGGGAGCTGGATGAGGACACAAACTGAAACTCAAATAGGGTCTTGGTGCTTGCAAGAGGAGGATTAGCCAATTAGGCCATCTCGTCAGTCCCCCACAGATTTACAAAAGAAGAATTATTTATTTTTATTATAAAGGTAGATATGCCGAGAGAAGGAGAGAAGATGATCCATAAACTGGCTCATTTCCCAAATGGTTGCAATTTCTAGAGGTGAGCTGATCCTAAGCTAGGAGCCAGGAGACTCTTCCATGTCTCTCTCCCGCATGGGTGCAGAGTCCCAAGGACTTAGGTCATCCTCCTCTGCTTTCCCCAACCATAAGTAGAGAACTGGATTAGAAGGGGAGCAACCAGGACGTGAACCTGCAGCTATATGGGATGTTGTCATTTGAATGGGGAAGATTGGCCTCTTGAGCCATGCATTGGTCCCAAGACATAGGAATTTGATTCAGAAGATATGGACTCCACATTGGGGTCTCTAAGACATTATCATGTCATGTCACATGTAGTTTGACATCAAGGAGCAGCCCCCCTCATTTACCCCACTAACTGCCCCAGCAGACAAGGGAGAAAAAAAGAGTTGAAATATAGTTCCCACTCACCTCTTCCTATACCTTGACCCTTCCCACCGTATTCAGAGATGCACATAAACATGCATCCCTTTCAAGTATGTAAGCAATATTAAAAATAAGATAAATACATAAAATAAAAAAAGATGTGGGGCTCAAGTCCAGATTTTAAGTTGTTTGTGTGACTTTCAAGGGATCTTTTGGGTTCTCTGAGCCTCAGATGCCTCACCCTTCAAATCAAACTTACATCTCTTTAAAAAAAAAAAAAGGTTTCTTTTTTTGAAAGGTATATTGAGAGAGACAGACAGACAGACAGACAGATAGACAGAGACACGGAGACGGAGAAAGGTCTTCTGTCATCACTCCACCAACTGCTGAAACAGCTGGAGCTGAGACAGTCACAAATGAGAGCTGGTAGCTTCTTCCTGGTAGCCTACATAGATGCAGGAACCCAAGGACTTGGGCCATCCTTCATTGGTTTCCCAGGTCAATAGCAGCAGACCCCAAACGTACCTCTTGAAACTTGGTAGAACAGGTGAGGGAGTGGTTTTGAGAGTTGTTTGACAGTCTTGAAGCATCATCCAAACATTACTCTAAAGAGACACAGCAATCCTCTTCTCTTTTAGGTCATGTAGGTTCATATTTCTCCCTTCCCCGAAGCTGAAGAAAGGGGTATGAATTAACACTTACTCCCAGGACTCGCAGGAGCTTCTTATCTGCTCTCTGGAGAAGGCAGATGGCTTTATGAGCCCAAGGGCAATCCAGGCAGAGCCTTGACTGAAGGTCCCTCTCCCCACAGGAGCAGATCCAGTTGCATGTGGGGATCTTGGAGCAAAAGGAGCAGGAACTTGTACACATGAAGGCTCAAGTTGACAAGAAGATCAGCCACTTCATGGTAAGGAAAAACCCCAAACTGTGTTTCTTTGTTTTTGTGTGCCAAAGGAAAAAAGTTTAAAACTACATGAAAACATTTAAAACTGAACAAACTTTCAGAAAGTGAGTTTTACGCAAACTCTTGAAACAAAAAATGATGACATAAATGATAGCAGAATGTGGCAGTAAGCATAAAGGAAGTGTTTCTATTTAAATAAATATTAAAGACTTGAGAGGAAGAGTAACAGTGAGAGTGTTAGAGGAGAGACAAAGTTTTCACTCATTGTTTCACTTTACAATGGTCTCGGTGGTGAGGAGGTGGTTAAGCAGAAGCCAGAAACTCCAAGCTTCATCCATGTCTCCCATGCAGTGATAGGAGCCCAGTGTTTGGCCTATTTTCTCTTGTCTTCCAGGGTGCATTTGCAGGAACTAAATCAGAAGCAGAGCAGCCGGTACTTGAACCAGCACTCAAATTGTTTGTTGCAAACAATGTCTTAATGGGCTTTACAACAGCACTGCTGTGAGAAGTGCTTTTAAATGTGAGTTCTCAGGACCTGAATCATGGTACAGTATGATAATGTGCCTCCTTTGACAAAAGCATCACATTTGAGTACTTGTTTGAGGTCCAGCTGCTCTATATTTAATCCAGGTCCCTGCCTATGCACCTGGGAAAGCAAGAGAAGAAGGTACAAGTGCTTGTGCCCCTGCGCACACATGTGGGAGATTTGGATGGAGGTCCTGGCTCATGATTTCAATATGTCTTACCTCAGCTTGCTGTGAGCATTCAGAGAGTGAACCAGCAAAGAGAAGTTCTCTCTCTCTCAAATAAAAAAATCTCTAAGGAAAAAATAAGTTTATTCTTGGTCATCAAGATGGCGGTATAGGGTGTAGACAGGTTTGGGATGATGGAGAATCATTAGGGTGAAACACAGGGAACAGATTTCAGGAAAAGATAGGTCAGGCATTTGGCATGGCAGTACCTGGAGACCACTGTACACAGGATAGTAGGGGCAATGGTGGAGAAGTGTTGCAGTGATAGGATAATGCACCAGCAGCCAGAGAACAGTGATCTGGACTCAGGCCATCTGGGCATCCAGTGGCAACCAGGGATCCTGTACTGGCTAGAGTGTCTGCAGCAGCCAGGTGAGTGTGGGAGTTGACTGGGAACTTCAGAAGTGAATACAGGCAAAGAACTGCTGATGTGTTTGGCCCAACAATGAGGAGAGCAGGAGCAGTGACTCCAAGACAAAATTCAGGGACGGGGTGGATCTCACATCACAGACTCTCAGTAACGCCAGATGGGACACCATTTTGTGTAGTAGTGCAAAGAGTGCGGATTTGAAGGGACTGTCAAGAACGGGCTCATTTCTGGCTAATCACACTGAACTTATCCCATAGGAAAAACAGTGTCAGCTTTGCATCCTGCTGGGACTGTGTGGTACCTGGATCTGACAGCCAGCAACCCCAGATCTTCATCAGTGCCCTGTCAGATGTCATTTTGTTTAGAGGGGCAAAGACTGAAGGGGGGGGAGAGGGTCGGGAGGAGCAGAGGTAACTGCACATGTGCTAAATCAGTAGCGAGCAGGTGCCATTTTCACAGGACCAGACACTGAGGGACTGCTGGGACCATAGCTGAGCTGTGCAAGCACTTAAACTGAGAGCAAAATCACTTTTAGCTTCATGCAGGTCCCTTGGAGAAAATAGTTCCATTGTGGCACTCTACAGGCTCCACCCAAAATAGTTTCAGCAGGCGGCCCTCAGACTTGATGACCAGCTGGTGTCGGCAAGATCAGCGCCACCAACAATCCAGTTATTTAGCATAGCTGGTATTTCCCTACTCTAGGACACTGCTTGTTTACATAAAACTGACTTGCAGACCTGTGGTAACACAACTTAGAAACCACCCTAAGGAGAAGAACCTGCTAACAAGAACAGCAGTGACCAAAGGTAAAAGAAGAGACAAAGGCACAATAAATATTACTGAAGATTCTCGAGCAAAGGAGCAAAAGCTCCTCAGACTTAGCTGAGTTAACTGAGGAGGACATCAAGAAATGGGAGATATAGAATTCAGAATACTTGTTATAAAGCTTCTTATCAACAATGGGAAGCACATACATGATTCAAGGAATTTAAGGAATGTGTCACAACTGAAATAGTAGCAATCAATCAAGTAAAAGCTGACATATTAGAAATTAAGAACACAATGGAACAAATTAAAAGTAAAGTGAAAAGTCTTAATAACAGAATGAGTGAAGCAGAATTTCAGAGTTGGAAGATATTTCCCGTCACCAGGGGGAAACAAACAAAAAGCTGGAACAGAACTGAGTTGAGCTTAAAAAAAAGTATCCAAGAATTAAAAGACATGATTAGAAGGTCCAATATAAGAGTTATGAGAGTTCCAGAACATGTAGAAAGAGAAGCTAGAGTTAAAGGTGTGTTCAATGAAATAATAAACAAAAACTTCCCTAATGTGGAGAAAGAATTAGAAAACAATATACAGGAGGGGCACAGAACTCCCAACAGAGTTGAACAAAAGTAAACTTCACCTTTTCACATGATAATCAAGCTCTCTTCAGTTGAACATAAGGAAAACATCCTTAAATTTGCACGTGAAAAAAATCAAGTGACCTGTAGAGGAATCCCAATTAGATATACTGCTAATTTCTCAGTGGAAACGCTACAGTCCAGAAGAGAATGGAGTGACATATTCTAGATTCTAAAAGAAAAAAAATTGTCAGCCCAGAATAATGTAGCCAGAAAAGCTCTATTTTGCCATTGAAAATGAGACAAAAATTTTCCACATTAAAGAAAATTCTCAGAATTTGCCTCTTCTAAATGAGCCCTACAAATGATACTCAAAGATGTCCTCTTGAAAGAGAAAAGGAATAGCAACTAGCAAAATCAAAGGCAAATGTGGAGAACACCCCCCTCAAAGGCCAACAGAAGACTAAATCGAACAACAACCCATTGCTGAAATGACAGGACCAATTTCTACCCATTCATATTACATTGAATGTAAATGCCTTAAACTCATCAATCCAATGCCATAGATTAGAGGACTGGATCAAAACCCAAAACTCATCTGTTTGTTGCTTACAGGAGACACATATCACCAATTAAGATCAGTGTAAACTGAAAGTGAAAGCATGGAAAAAGATACTCCAAACTAATGGTAAGGAAAAATAAATAGCATAGTCATTCTAATAACAGATTATATAGACTTGAATGTGAAAAACATTAAAAGAGGTAAAGGACACACATAATGATCAAAGGATCCATTCAGCAAGCAGATATCACCATAATAAATGTATACACACCAAATGCCAAGGCATCTTGCTATGTGAAACAAATACTAATGAATTTCAATGGAGAAATAGACTCCAACACAATAATTATTGGGGGACTTTAATACCCCCTTTAACATCAGACAAATCGACAGTTCGGATACTCAACAAGGAAACAACAGAACATAGTTGATATCTGCTGAACCTTTCATCCTGCAGACAATACACTCTTTTTAAAATCAGTACATGGAAACTTCTCCAGAAATGACCATATTATAGGCCACAAGACAAGCCTCAGCAGATTTTTAAAAAGTCAAAATTATATCACGCATCTTCTCAGACCATCAGGGAGTCAAACTAGAGACCAAGAAGTCAAAAGAACCAGGAGGACATGCAAACATTTCCAAACAATAGAAAGCAATTTTTCCAAACCCTTTTTATGAATCCAGTATCATCTTAATACCAAAACCAGACAGAAAAACAACAGAAAAAGAGAAATACAAACTGATACCTTCAATGAACATAAACGCAAAGATCCTCAACAAAATACTAGGCAAAATGATCCAACAGCACATCAGGCTGATCACTCATCCAAACCAGGTGGGATTCATCCCCTGGTTTGCAGGAATGATTCAACATTCACAAATCAATAAATGTGGTACATCACAACAACAAATAGAAAAATAATAACCATATTATCATCTCAATAGATGCAGAGAAATCAGTTGATAAAATTCAACACCACTTCATGCTGAAAACCCTAAGCAAGATAGGCATAGAAAGGACATTCTATAACACAAAAGCAATACACGAAAAACCCAACTCTAGTATCATACTCAATGGGGAAAGATTAGAAGCCTTTCATCTAAGATCTGGAAATAGACAGTGATGTCACGGTCACCACTACTCTTCAATATAGTATTGGAAGTCCTTCCCAGAGCTATTAGGCAAAAAAAAAAAAAAAAAAAGAATTAAAGGAATTCAACTTGGAAAAGAGAAAATGAAATTATGATTTTCTACGTAGGAGAACCAAAAGACTCAGTCAAGACACTATTGGAACTAATAAGAGACTTTTGCAGGGTAGTAGGATACAAAATTAATGAACACAAGTCGATGGCACTAGTGTACACAAGTAATTCCATGGATGAGAAAGAAATTGCAAGTAAAGTCTCCTTTAAAATAGAGGAGAGGAATCTTAAATACCTAGGAATTAAGCTAACTAAATATGTGAAAGACTTCTATGATGAAAACTCTAAAGCATTAGAAAGGAAATAGAGGAAGACCTTGAAGATGGAGAAACTTACCATGTTCCTGGATTGGCAGGATCAATATCATCAAAATGACCATGTTACTAAAAGCAATATACAGATTCAATGCAATCCCAATCAAAATCCCAGCAATATTCTTCTTCTCAGAAATAGAAAAAAGATGCAAAAGTTCATCTGGAATCACAAGAGACCACAAATAGCTAAAGCTATCCTGAAAAATAGAAATCAAGCTGGAGGAATCACAATTCCTGACCTCAAGACATGCTACAGAGCAGTGGTCATCAAAAGAGTCTGGTACTGGTACAGAAACAGAGAAGAAGATCAACGGAACAGAATAGAAACACCAGAAGGGAGCCCACACATGTGTAGCCGACTAATTCTTGGCAAGAAAACTAAAAATAATCCAGGAAAAAGCCCGGTTTCTTCAACAAATGCTGTTGGGACAATTGAATAGCAACTTGTAGAATTAAGAAGCAAGAGTTGCACCTGTCACTTACACAAAAATCAGCTCTAAATGTATCAAGGACTTAAATCTACACCCAGAAATCACCCAACTATTAAAGGAAAACATAGAAAACACACTCCAAGATACAGCAACAGGAAAAGACTTCTTAGAAAAGATGCCAAAAGCAAAGGCAACCAGAGCTAAAATGAAGAAATGAGACTACATCAAACTAAAAAGCTTCTGCACAGCAAAGGAAACAATTAACAACATCAAGAAGCAACCAACAGAACGGCACAAAATTTTTTCATACTACACAAGTGATAGGGGACTAATATCCAGGATTTACACAGAACTTCAGACCCAGGGAGCAAAAATTTAAAAAAAACCTATAACAAAATGGGTGAAGGAAATGAACAGACGTTTTTCAAAAGAACAGATTCAAATGGCTAACAGACATATGAAAAGATGCTCAGGCTCCTAGCCGTCACAGAGATATAAAGGAACACCATGTTGAAGTACCACCTAACTCCAGTGAGACTAGCCTACATTCAGAACTTGAATAACACCACCTGCTGGAGTGGATGTGGGGAGAAAGGCACCTTCCTTCACTGCTGGTGGGAATGTAGGCCAGTACAACCACTGTGGAAATCAGTAGGAAACATAGGAAGCACTCTCCAAGATACAGGAACAGGGAAAGGCTTCTTGGAAAAGACACCAAAAGCACAGACAGTCAAAGACAAAATAAACAAACAGGGCTACATCAAACTAAAAAGCTTCTGCACAGCAAAGGAAACAATTAACAACATCAAAAAGCAACCAACAGAATGGGAGAAAAATCTTTGCACACTTCACAAGTGATAGGGGACTAATATCCAGGATTCCCAAAGAGCTTCAGAAACCCAGGGAGAGTAAAAAACAAACCAACCAACCAACAAACAAAACTTTGAATGTGTGAAGGAAATGAGCATTATTTTTTAAAGAACAAATTCAAATGACTAATAGACATATGGAAAGATGTTCAAGCTCCCCAAATGTTAGGGAGACACAAATGAAAACCACATTAAGTTTCCATCTATCTCCAGTGAAGTTGGCCTACATTCAGAACTCTACTACAACACCTGCTGGCATTGATATGGGGTAAAGGTACCCTTATTCACTGCTGGTGGGAGTGCAGGCTAGTACAACGACTATGGAAATCAGTATGGAGCATGTTTAGAGAACTACAAATAAACTTGCCATATGACGCAGCTATCCTGCCCCTAGGAATATATCAAAGGAAATGAAATCTCCATATGAGAAGGGAATCTGTAATCCTATATTCACAGCAGCACAAACTACAATAGCAAATACATGGAAACAACCCAGATGTCTGTCCAAAAAAGAGTGGTTAAAGAAACTGTGGTACATCTACTCCATGGAATATTACTCAGTCGTCGAAAAGACTGAAATCATACCATTTGCAACCAGATGGTCCCAACTAAAGACCATTATGCTCAGTAAAATAAGTCAATCCCAAAAGAACAAATGGCATATATTCTTTCTGACATAAGGCAGCCTTCATGTAAACTGTAAGATCAGTAACCCTTTTCATCCTGTGTTTGGCTGGATTCCATGTGTTTTGATGTTTTTGGTTTTGTTTTCATTTCTTTCAAAAAGTTTCTTTACTCTTGTTGAATTCATTGCTGGCTCATGGATCACACAGTGGTATCATATTACCCAAGAGGCTTTTGAGTTATCTTTTTCATTTCTTCACTCATGCGTTGGTTATTCAGTGGTGCGAAAACCAGTCTGGGGGTGAGATTTTGGGGAGAGGGCAGGGAAATCCCAGACCCTATGGAATTGTACTATAAAATTCAAAACTAAAAAAAGAAAGTTTGCTCTCATCTATTCTCAAGTTCTACATGGGTACTCAGTATAATCAAATACAAAAATTAAAATGGAATAGCATCAGTGGAATGTCAGTTGAGAACATCTCTTCTCTATGTCCCTATAATTGTACCAAGGCCCAGGTGAATATTGAGAAGCAACGGATCCACACAGAATTCAAGCACCTGCAGCAGGTACTGGACGAGAATAAGAACTTCCTCCTGTCCAACATCGAGCATCAGGCTCAACATGGTGTCAAGGAGTGTGAGCAGTATAACGCTGACACCCAGGCGCAGCTCAGCTTGCTAAGGGATCTCATGGATACTCTGAAGGCCAAGCAGCAGATGCCACCCAGACAGCTGCTGCAGGTGAGCTCTCAGGGGTGGAATCACTGCAAAGCAGAGCTCGGGGATTGTGTCTGGCCAGCACACCTGTGTCTGGCAGAATCCTCAACACTGCCTCTAGGGCTGCACCATCCAGCAGAAAGAGTCGAAATGGTAATATGTTGTTTGGAACAGTTGTATGAGCCACACGTGTGATTTACAATAGGTAACCCACATAAATTATTTAGAAATATACTGTCAGTTACTGACCAGCATAATTTAGAAATGTAACATGAACCACATGTATAATTTAGAAATGTATTGCAAGCCACATAGGAAGAGCTTCAGCATGCAGAAGGCCAGGTGTTTGGTGCAGTGTTTGACATGCGACTTGGAGATTCCATGTTCCGTGTGGGTGAGCCTGGTTGGAACCCTACCTCCACTTCCCACCCAGCTTCCTGCTAATGTTGGCCCTGCAAGGAAGCAGTGGATGAGGCAAGTCCTGGGATCCAGCAACCAGTGTGAGAGACCTGGGCTGTGTTTCAGGCTCCTGATTGCCACCTGGCTAAGCCCTGGTTTTGTGAGCTTTTAGGGAATAAAGCAGCAGATGGAGCATCTTTCAATTGTCTCTGTCTCTCTACCTTTCAGATAGATGAAAATTATATTTTAAAATATGTGGGACTGGAGCTGTGGCTTGGTGAGTTAAGAAGCTGCCTGTAGCACCAGCATACCATATGCATTCTGGTTAGATTCCAGCTGCTTCAATTCTTATCCAGTTCCCTGCTAACGTGCTTGGGAAAGCAGCAGAGGATAGGTCAAAGCCTTGGGACCCTGCACCCATGTGCGAGATGCAAAAGAGTCTCTTGGTGTTGAATTAGCTCAGCTCCATCTGTTGCAACCACGTGGAAACTAATCAGCAGATGAAAGATATTTCCTTCTGTCTCTTCTTCTCTTTGTAAATCTGCCTTTCCAACAAAAATAAATCTCCCATTTGTTAAAAATCCATGTGCAAAATAATTGTAAATAGACTTCAAAATATTGACCACAAAAGAAATTTTTTTTCTTAAAGGTTTTATTTATTTACTTGAAAGGCAGTGTTACAGTGAGAGAGGGAAAGACAGTAAAAAAGAGAGAGAGATCTGCTATTATTGGTTCATTCCCCAAATGGCCACAGTGGCCTGGACTGTGCCAGGCAAGAGCCAGAAGCTTCTTCTGGGTTTTGTGAACCATTGTGCTGGTTGGAATGTTCATTCTTTTCTTTCAAGTAATTTCATGCAAATTTACTCCTGTCTTTTCCCTGGCCCAGTGTATAGGGCTCCCCTGCTAATTTAAGTATCAGACAAAATTTATTTCCAAAATGTTATTCTCTTTCTAATCGTCAATGGTTCTTGTTGGTGTCTAACCATGTCTTCACTTGGAGTCATATGAGCACTTCATGGAGGTGTCCCTGTGAGTGAGAACAGGGGAGAGAAGAGACAGAAAAGTCTCAGAGATGTTCTCAACCCTCTGGCTCTGCCCACACCTACTTGCCTCTCGGCTCCTCATGGCCACAAGAGTCAGCTAGTGCTGAGATCATACTGTTTGTCTTTCTCTTCCAGGACATCAGAGGCACCTTGAAAAGGTATGATGGTCAGCCCACATGCATGCTGCCCCCTGAATCATTCAAGGATCAATATCCACCTTAGCTTCAGATAATCTCAAATGTTACCTGCTCACCAACGCCCACACCCCGGGATTTTGCACTCAGAGGTTTATGCTGCATTAGGAAAATCTGAGCTGAGCAAATGAGTTTGCTGTGAGAGACCTGAGCTGTTCTCCCCATCTCCCTGGTCCTCCTCCAGGCCCCCTGCTCAGCTGGATGCCTCCTGGTCCCTTCTCTCTTTCCCACTGCTTTTCTCCTTCCCCTTTCACGTCCAAGTCTCCTTGGGCAGCTTCTCACACCAGCCTATCATCAGTGACAACCTATCATTAGGGAGCTCAATGCTCCCTAGTCCTTGATACTCACTACCACTACCACTGCCATGTTTCCATCCTCACAAGGCTGGGTCCAAAGGACCAGACTCCCACTCAGTGCTGCCTGTTCTCCTAGGAGTGAAGAGTTTCAGGTTCAGTTTCACAGCAAAACCCCAATTCCTCTGGGCCTGGATCAACAACTCAATGAAGCAAAGTCCAGACATGACTCCGTGATTGAGAGCCTGAGGAAGTGTGAAGGTAAGAAAGAGGCTGAGGGGGCCTCTGTTCCCCCACCGGGAAGAGTCTCTCCTGTCAGCAGCTATCACAGCATCCATCCCATCCAGGGTCTATGAGCCTGGTCATGCCTGCCTCAGGCATTTTCCCATGCTCTGTTCCACATGGTTTTTGTCTATAATGTCGCTCGCTGATTTTTGTGTTATCCCCCTGGCCTAGGTCCGTCACCATGGGCAGAAGAACAAGGTTATGCCTTCCCAGGACTTTTGGCTCTATGATCTTTAGCCCATGGTTGTCTGTTTCCTTGTTACTGTGATACATACTTCTATTTCTTACTACAGAAAATGCATTCATAATTGATGATGTTTTGAAGATTCTGTCTTGCAGGAAAACAGATCAGCCAGGACAGAGTGTAAGGTTGGGTATTGAGTTACATTTTCATAAGAGTACTCTTGGTTTGCAACTAGGATTAAGCGTTGGTGTCTGTAGGAATGTCCTTCAATGTGATGGGTGTGTGTTTCTAAGCTAAAAGTAATGGTGGCTGATTGGAACCTTGTTCTTCGGGCTAGCACAGGAGCATTTCTTCCCCCAAATCTCCCATGCACTATATGGGGGCAATGCCCCCAGGAATAAGCATCCTCCCCATTTATGCGTGAATCTCCACTTTCTTTCTTTTGCTGTTGTTTATTTTTTAACATTTTATTGATGATTTCAATGATTGGCTGTTTTTTTTTGAAAGGCAGAGCATCAAGAGAACAGGAGAGACAGAAAAGAATAGGAGAGACAATCCATGTGCTGGCTCATTCTCTAAATGATTGAGACAGCAGGGCCTGGGCCAGGCTGAAATACAAGCCAGGAATCCCATGTGGGTTTTCTACAAGGATGGCAGGATCCAAACACTTGAGCCATCTTTTGCTGTTTTCTCAGTTCTTTGCAGGGTGTTGGATTGAAAGTGGTGTGGTAGAAATGATCACCCAATGGAAAGGTGGCCAAATGGGATATTAACATCACAGATTTCAGCTTTACTTGTTATGTCACAACACAGGCTCCAATACCACAAAATATAAAAGTATAGGAGGCCTGGGAAGGAAACAAAAATGCCCCAAAGCCTTGGGACCCTGCACCCGTACGGAAGACCCAAAATAGGTTCCTGGCTCCTAGATTCACATTGGCTCTGCTACTGCTGTTGCAATTATTTGGGGGTGGTGGTGTTGGTGGTGGTGGTAGACTAGCAGATAGAAGATCTTTCTCACTTTTCTCTGTAAGATCCGATTTGCCTTTCCAATAAAAACCTTTAATAAAAATTACAGGAAGCTAGTTTAAATGTTTATGGAAAATATGTACAAGAATACTTAAAATTGTTTGAACTAAAATGAACTTTTTAAAAAAGTTTTTTATTGGAAAGTCAGATTTTTAATTTAAAAATTAATTTTTATTGGAAAATAAGACTGAGAGAAGGAAAGAACGATCCTCCACTCACTCATACACTCTGCAAGTTTCCACAATTGCTGGAGCTGTGTCAATGCAAAACCAGGAGCCAGGAGCTTCCCCATGTCTCCTAGGTGGGCACAGAGTCCCAAGGCTCTGGGCCATCTTACACAGCTTTCTCAGGTCACCAGCATTGAACTGGACTGGAAGTGAAACAGCCAGGACATGAAAGGGCACCCATATTGGATGCCAGTGTTCACAGGCAGAGGACTAGCCAATGGAGTTATCATGCTGGCCTCTTAGACAAATTTTAAAAGGCTCATTTTGGGTGGTAGCACAGTAGCCTAGCTACTAAAATCCTCAACTTGCATGCACTTGAATTCCATATGGGATGATCCAAAGTCTTTGAAACTTATAAATGTGTGCGAGACACAGAAGAAGCTTCTAGTTCTGGGCTTCTGAGCAGCTCAGCTCTGGTTCCTGTAGCCATTTGGGATGTGAACCTGCGGTTGGAAGATCTTTTTCTGAATCTCTCTTCCTTTTTCTGAATCTACCTTTCTATAAAAATAAATAAACCTAAAAATACTATTGTTTAAAAAGCAGAGAATTGGAAGAACTCAATCCTGATCTCAAATGTGGTTGTAGGGGACCAAGCTTTTCAGATATTTTTGCTGCTTTTCCAGAACATAGACAGGGTGCTGGATCATAAATTGAGTACCTGGGACTTGAATCTGTGTCCATATAGGATGTGCCATTGCAACAGATTAGCCTGATACAGCATGGTGCCAGTCCCCATGAAATTGTTATTATTTAATTACTACATTGCATTCATAATGTGACACATTCTCATAGGCTTTGTGGTTCCCCAAACCTTTCCCTGTGCCCTCCCCTGCAAGGTGGATTCCTCCACCTTGTTGCAGTATTACAGCTCAAATCCAGTCATGATTCTTCCATTGCAAGCATGTACCATGCATAGAGTCCAGCATCTTATTGTCCAGGTAAATTCAGCAGTTTGTTGGGGAGACCATCTCCGGTTTGAAGGTAGAGCTGGCAGAATATCATCCCTATCAATTAAGAGCCCCAACATAAGAACAACAGCAATTTACAATATTATGGAATCAATTGACATGGTATTGAGTAACAAATATGTTTTTAAAAATGCAAGTTCTTAACCACATCCTGTGACTACTTCATTGATATTTCTATTTTTTTAAAAGATTTTTATTATTTTTATTGAAAGGCGGATATACAGAGAGGAGAGACAGAGAGGAAGATCTTCCGTCTGATGATTCACTCCACAAGTGAGTCGCAACGGCTGATGCTATGCTGATCTGAAGCCAGGAGCCTCTTCCGGGTCTCCCACGCTGGTGTAGGGTCCCAAAGCTTTGGGCCATCCTCGACTGCTTTCCCGGGCCACAGGCAGGGAGCTGGAAGCAGGGCTGCTGGGATTAGAACCGGTGCCCATATGGGATCCCGGGCATGCAAGGAGAGGACCTTAACCAACTGCGCCACAGTGCCGGGTCCGACATTTCTATTTTAGTTTATATACGGAACGGGCTGCTATACACCTTTAAATGGCTATAGGATACTATAGAGCTGTCTTGTGTCTTGCACTGCTTTGGTGGTATCCCACAGGTTTTAGAATGTTGTATCTGAGTTTTCATTGGTTTCCATAATGTTTTTTATTTTATCTTTAATTTCTTCTTTGATCCATTGGTCATTTAATAGCATATTGTTCAAGAGTTTATGAACAAGAGTTTATGTATTTCCAAGAGTTTATGTATTTCCTGGGGCATTTTGAATTGTTGATTTCCAGTTTCATTCCTTGGTGTTCTGATTAGGTGCATGCTATGGTTTCAATTTTTTTGAAGTTAGTCAGATTTGCTTTGTGTCCTATCCTGTGGTAGATCCTGGAGAAGATACCATACACTGCTGAAAAAAATGTGTAATCTGTGGCCTTAGGATGAAAGGTTCTATAAAGGTCTACTAAGTCCAGTTGCTCTATTTTTTGTGTGTGAGTTCTGTAGTTTCTCTGTTGATCTCTTGTCTCATTGATATGTCTATTGGAATTAATGGGGTATTCATAGCTCCCATGATTATTGTATGTTCATCTATGTCTCCTCTTAGGTCCATAAGTAATTGCTTGACCTAGCTGGGTGAATTTGGAGCATAGATGTTGATGGTAATCACTTCTTGATGGATCTTTTCTTTCAGCAATATAAAATGTGTCCTTTTTGATGTTTGTCATGTTGAAGTCTACATCATCTTAAATTAGGACAGCTAGATCAGCCTTTTTTTCCTCATCCATTAGCATGAAATATCTTTTTCCATCCCTTCACTTTCAGTTTCTTAGCATCTTTTCTTGTTAAATGTATCTCCTGTAGACCACAGATAATTGGGTCCTGTTTGTTGATCCAATTTATTAATCTATGTCTTTTGACTGATGAATTTAGGCCATTGTGTTAAGAGTTAATATTGAGACTGCAATTTTGTCCTGCCATGCACGTGTGTTTTTGTGGGTGTTGGTATCTGTTTGATTGTTTTTCCTTGCAAGGTCTTTCCATTTGCCATCTTTCCTTATGGTTTGCTTTCTTTTTTATGGGATTAGCACATTTTTAAGGAGATTTTGTAGAGCTAGATTTGTTCTGGCATATTCTTCTAATTTCTCCTTGCTATGGAAGTATCTAATTTCATTCTCAAATATAAATGAGATTTTTGCTGGGTACAATATTCTTTATTGACAGTTGTTCTGTTTCAGAATTTGAAAGACTTTATTCCATTCTCTCCTTGTCTGGAGCATTTTCTCTGAGAAGAGAGCAGTGATTCTGACTGGCCTGCCCCTAAATGTAAGCTTGTCTATGCTTCTTGCTAGTCTCAGAATTCTTTCTTTGTATTCGTTGGAGGGGAGCTTGAGTACCACATGTCTGGGTGAGGATCTCTTTGGGTCAAATCTGTTGGAGGTTCTCAGTCCTTCCTGGATTTGGACTGGGTTCATGTTCCAAGTGTTTTGAAGTTCTCCTGTATAATTTCATCAAATGCCGGTTGCATACCTGTCTCTCCTCTCCTTCTGGAAGGCCTATAATTCTGATATTCAACTCTTGATGTTGTCTTTCATTTCCTGCATGGCCTTATTGGACTTGTTCAAGTTTTTCTCCAGCTGATTGATAGTCTGCCTGCTTTCATTCTGGGTATCTTCCAATTCAGAGATCCTGTCTTCTGCTGTATTAATTCTGTTAGACAGGCTCTCAACTCTGTGCTGCAGGTCAAGGATCTTATTTTTGACTACTTTTTTTTCTGTGATCATGTGATTTTTGAATTTCTTGAGCTCCTCCCATCATTTTTCATTATCTCTGAAGAGTTTTATAATTATTTTCTGAATTCCTTGTCTTCATCTGTCACCTCTGGGGTTGACAGGCCTTTTGGTGATTTTTCGGGGTTGGTACTGGCTCCTTCCCCTGACTCATTTCTTCTCCTGTGAGCTTTCCCCATGTCTATGTGTTCTCTGATATTGCTTGCTTCTAACCCTTGACCTCTGCTGCCACCGTGTGGGTGACCTGAGGTCTTGTTGACCTAGATTTTTTTTCCTTCTTTGTGGTACCTGGGTTCCCTTCTTCCTAGTTTTTCAGTCGCAGGACTTTGCGGTCTTGTGAGCTCTTCAAAAAAGGGCGATGTTTACAGTATCTATTAGGTCTCCCTTCTTTGGGCTTCTCATGACCCTGGGGTTGTTGCAGCCCAGTGCTGGGGAGTTCCAGTTCCCAGGTTCGCCCAGGCTCTTTGTTTCTGTGCCTAGTCACCTTCTCCGGCCTGTCTGCCCAGATCAAGCCTGCCGTGAGTTGCTCAGTTCAGGCACCCTTCACTGCGTTTTGTTCCTGAGATCAGTTCAGACACTCTTCACTGCGTTTTGTTCCCGAGATCCGCATGCCCCTCACCTCCTGCTAAGGGTGGGTACATTGCTGTGTTAGTGACTCACCAAGGTTCGCTCCCTGAATTTTGCTCATCAAATTTTGCTGGAGTCTCTGCAGCCCGGGGCACCCTATTTGACCCTCTCAGGTTGACAATCCCAGTCTTTTGTGTCTGTTTTACTGCTGCGTGCAGCCTTTCTCAGTCCTGGCGGCACTGGGGGGATTTCCCATAGTGTTCCCCACATTTTTTCCTCTTGGGCTCACTTCAGTCTGCTCCCATCCCTAACTTTTAGGACCCTCGGTCACACTGGTCTACTTCCATGAGCCATATTGACTCCTCCTCAGTCACTATGAATTTTTAAGTTCCCCAAAATGAGTGGCTCCTGTTCCACATCTCATTAGATGTCCACTGAACAATGCTGGGCTGCATGGCCACATCAGGGAAGCTGGGTAGCAAGACTGAAAAATCTCAAGTGATCTGAGAATGTGAGAGACAACTCCAGGTCACTGCTCCTACGGGATTCACATCTGGGCACTGTGGTGTAAACCTAAGTTCCTTACTCAACTTCTCTAGTCTCTCATGCCTTCCGTTCCCTATCCACAGACCAGCTGCAGGCTGGAAGCAAGAAAGACCACGGCAAGTTCCTTCAAGACAAGAGGACAATCCTCAGGCAGAGTGGTAAGTAGGGGGTTAGGGCTGCTTCCTGCCACTGGGGAAGAGTGAGACCCCCAAACAGGAAGGTGACTTCTCCCACAAAGGGAGAAGAACAGGTCTTGGGGGTATTTTATACTTTTAGATTCAAGTAACTCACAGCCACTCAAAAACATTCCAAGTAATAAAAAGTCATCAATTGATGTCTCCCCTGCTCAGCGCCAGGGAAGATAAAAATGGGTCTAGATGCACTGGATGCAGGGCATCTCTGCCATCTTAACTGCCCAGCTGGGCAATGACCATGCTCCTGGGGAAGGTCTCTGTGGGAGGGACAATGGCAGGACACTTCACCTTCAATGGGAACTCAGTGTTTCCCACACCAAGGGCCCAGTGGCACAGGTTAGCAGCAACCCTCCTCCCACCCCCACCCCTGCCACTCCTGCTGACCCTAAAGCCAACTGAAAGGTTTCCGCTCTTCCTTTGGGGGCAATGGTTGTGCCTACTGGGGATCACTGGCTCAAGTTACTCCGGATTGGCTGGGTTTGGGATGGGGCATTGCCTTTGCTTAGCTCACAGGCTCTGACTTTCAAGACCAAAGTTAGCTTTCCCTCTCTAACTCCTAGGGTGCCTCCCTGAGACAAATAACCCTGACATGGACAGAAGCTCACAGCCTGAGCCAGCATCCCCAGGTAGGAGTCTGGTCTTGAACACAGGAGACTGCATGTGGGGCTGGAGGGGATACAAAGCCAGTGGCCACAGCCTGCAGAGGGAGCTGCAGACTTGTGTCCTTGCCCTCACTACAGCTGCTGGGACCAATGACTGTTCTCAGTGCCAACCTGAGGAGGAAAAGGGAAAGAACAGAAAACGGGGATGAGAGTCAGAGGGAGGAGGTTGATGGAAGAGGGAGCACTGTGGCCTCCACAGGCTTTGAAGATGTGTCACATCCCACAGGTGGTGTGGGCAGACATGAGGTGTGGGGGAGGACAAGACCCACTCTGTCCCTGTCTACTTTCTACTAACTGTGGGAGGTGGTAGCCCCGTAGTGAGCTCCTTGAGCTTGTGTGGACAGAGGGGGATTCCTGCCCTCATGATCCAATGGGCCTGGCTCTTCTTTCCTTCTCTGTAAAAGGTGAGCTAATAGCCAACCCGGCATCTTCAACTCTCCACACTCCAGCTCAAATCAAACGGCAATTTAAGTTCTCCTTTGAGATGAATGTCACTAGGCCAGACCTGAGCCTGCGAAGAGACAAGGTGTTTTATGCAAGAGCTCCCGGGAACGCTAGTGACACTGACACCAGGAACACCTGGAGCATCCAAGGCCCCTCAAGTTCTTTGGTGCTCCAGCCGGTACTGAGTGAGTGTCTAGGGACAATTGGGTGCTCCATCTTGAGGGGAGCTAAGGGAGAGGTCTGGTCTCCTGGGACTGGATGTGGGGCAGCTGTCGTGGGGATGACTCCCAGGAGGGAAGCACTTGTTCTTAGAAGCCATAATCATGCTGGCCTTCTGGCCTTCACATGGACTGAGGTGCTCTCTAGTGGACACACGAGGTCCCTGCATCTGTGCCCACTCCTCTTCCCTCCTCCTGTGTGAAATCCACACAGGAGTCAAGGCCTGCCTGCTCACAGATGGCAGAACCCATCCCCATGGACATGACTGGCAAGGTAAAATCTTCCTCTGTGGGGACTTGACCAGTGTGCTTCTTTCCCCTCCTCTTCCTACAGCCCCCGTGACCTTCAATGCGGCCTCTGCCCATCCTGACCTGAACTTTTCCCAGGATCTGAAAATGGTGACAATGGATACATTTCCGCCAAAGTTCTCGGAGGATCCAGCAGTGCCACAGCGCTTCTTCCCGTCCCGTTGCGTGCTGGGATCTCCAGGCTTCTCCACCGGCCGCCACACCTGGGAGGTGGAGCGCAGTGGACCCAGGGGCGGGGCCTGTGTAGTGGGTGTGGCGTGGGAGCAGGCCCCTCGGCAGGGCAGCCTGACCCTGGAGCCTGCCAGCGGCTTCTGGGTGCTGCGCTTCAGCAACTTGGAGTGCCAGGCGCTCATTGGAAGCAACATAGGGGAGGACTTCCCGGTCCGTCCCAGGAGAGTGGGTGTCTGCGTGGATTTTGAGGGCAAGGAGGTCAGCTTCTATGACGCTGATACCAACGACCACATCTACACTTTCCAGGCCTCCTTCCCGGGGAAGATCTTCCCTTTCTTCAGGCTGCTGTTCTCAGGCACCCAGCTTACCCTGAACCCCTAGCCATGCTACTTGGATACTCTCTGCGATTCCTTGGGGCAAGCTCTTTGCTAGGCGGTAGTGCTGACACAAGGTTTACAGGAGACCAGGGTCTGAAGTCTTTGACTTCACTTTATAATTTTGCTTTTTAAGATTTATGTACTTTGAAATCCAATGCAGTAGCCTGTGGCTAAGTCCTTGCATTGCAACCGCTGGGATTCAATAGGTGGACTTGTTCCCAATCAGCTCCCTGCTTGTGGGCTGGGAAAGCCCGGAGCATGACCCAAAACCTTGGGACTCTACACCTGCTTTGGAGATCCAGAAGAAGCTTCTGGTTCCTGGTTTTAGATCAGCTCATCTCTGGCCATTGTGACCACTTGGGGAGTACACCAGTGGATAGAAGAGCTTTCTCTCTATGTCTCCTTCTCCTTGTAAATTTGCTTTTCCAATTAAAAATACGTTAAGCATATTTTATTAAGATTTTAAAAAGATTTTATTAAAAGATTTATGTATTTATGTATTTTTTATTGGAAAGATAGTTTTTACAGAAAGAAAAGAAAGCAAGAGAAAGAGCTTCCATTCGTTGGTTCACTCCCCAAGTGGGTACAGGTGACCAAGCACTTGATCATCTTCTGCTGATTTCACAGGTATAAGCAGGGAGCTGGATTGGAAATGGTGCAGCTGCCACATAATGGCTTCTTTATGGACTGTCTATGCTAGCTGACAGAGGATTAACTTCCTGTACTAACATACCATTCATTCTAAGATGAATTGTTAAGTGGAAAAAAGTAGGGTACAGAGGAAGACACAAAGCATGTTACATGGGATCCAGGAAGAGAGAAAATACATGGATTTGATGGCTTATAGTTATGTTTTAGAGGAAAGGACAAACCAAAACCTAGTCAACAGTTCCATGTAGGGGGAAGGAAAGCCAGATGAAGGGATGCAAGTTGGCCTTTTCTGGATGAATTTTGTCTTGACTTTTTTACTTAATACCATGTAAATATATCATTATAAAACAGAACTTAAGTGAGACAAATGGCCTGTGTGTGGAGTTGGCAGCTTACACTCAGACAGGAGTTATTTAAAGGCAGTTGTCTGGTGAGTGCTCAGTACCAGCAGCTGTGTGACACCTGGATGTCTGCATCCCACACCCAGGGCCTGAGTCCTGGCTCCACTTCTGCTTCCAGCTCTCTTCTCCTTGTGAGTCCTGGGAAGTGACAGGTGATTGTCCTTGGGTCTCTGTCAGCCCCATGAAACTTAGCTTGTGTTCTTAGCTCCTGGCTTTGCTCTGGCCCTGTCCCCTCTGTTACAGGCAATTGAGAAGTGAACCAGTAGATGGAAGGGATCTCTCTCTCTCTCTTGCAAATAAGGTAAAAATAAGTAAGTTTTACATGCAATAATTTGTAATCCTTAGGAGGATATATCCTAAGGATAAAAGCAATCACAAATAGATCTTGAATTTGTCACTTATGTTGGAAATATTAGTCTTACTATTCTGAACCTGGTATGTTTCTATATATGTATGTGTTTATATGTATATACACATAATACACAAAACCACATAATTATGGTTAAGCTACTACAATATTTTTAAAATATAAGATTGGGGTTTTTTTCTTAAGAAATGGCATGATTGAATGAAAATAACAGCATAGTAAGTCTATACCAAATTGTTCCACAAAATTCAAATATTCAAAATAAAATATAACAAAAAGCATAGTAATGCTTGTTTTGAATTATAAATTAGTATAAACTCATGAGGTAACTCCTCTGAAAAATACTAAATTTTTTTCTGTACTTTGTGTACAAAGAAGCCCTAATCATGAGTAGGAACCCGTCAGAACCTATGACAATCATGTTACCTAAGAGATTTCTGGGGAGGGGGTGAAAGGAGAACATACAGATTTAAAGAGCCTAAAGGACATATCCACCAAGTGTATTGGTAGTCTTTTTGGATCCTGGTCTGGACAAAATAATTGCAATTTAAATTTTAAAAGTTGGATCAGAAATCCCAACATTCATCTTCTATAATTGCAATCTACACATGTGCTAATTGTACTTTGAAGAAGTTATTTGCATACTGAAATGCTTAGTAGTGGTATGATATGAAAGCTGTAACTGATTTAAATAAACAAATAAATAAACAAATAAACAAATAAGCAAGCCATTTTTGAAGTACAGTTCTATTCTGTGTTATTGGGGAATGTGTCTTACTCAGAGGTCAGACATCTTTTCAGAAGAGCCAAAGTGATTAAGATTGTCACCCAACACAGTTTACCCCTGGAGTAGAAGTGGATCAGTGCATTTCAAAGACAAATGCATCTGCCTATCCTAGTTAATCACATGCAGAACCCAAAGGGAATCCCTGGGCTCTTGCATCCTCCTCTCCATCAGTCACTGCTGCCACTGTGCAACTGAGCTCAATCTCTCCCAGGGTTGCCACTGCAAGATACCCCAATGTCACTGAGCTCATGTTTCTTGGGCGACACTGAAAAATCGAAGAAATCCATGATTTGAGAGTCAAAGGACGCCTGTGAGCTTCACCTAGGGGCTTCTTCTTCCTGCAGTTTATTTGGACGTGGTTTGTAGAAAATAGGCTTCACAGGGCTATCCCCTGTACCTGTGGAGCTGCAGCAGCTGCGCCTGGAGGCAGGCCCACGTTCTTGGGTGGGAGTCAGTCAACAACCAAACATAGATTCCAGGAACGTCCAGCCAACCCTGGCCTGGCTCTTCCAGATAGTCCCCCTGGTTGCCCTTGAGGCGCCACCAGAGACCTAAGCTGCCTGGCCTTGCCTGCTGAGGGCAGAGGAACTCAGATCAGGTGCTGCTGAACAATTCCCCTCTGGACCCACATTTAGAGTCCCAGTTGTTTGAGCCAGATTTTCTAGTTACCTTATGCGGCACCATGGCTAGGGCTTCATACACTGGGCCTTCTTGGTCCTTCAAGTCACATGACCCTTACCACAGAGAGGGTTCCTCCGCTGGTTTTAAGTTGATGTCCTACTCTCTCCCTCTCCCAGACCCTGGTACTCCAGCACAGACCCCAGAACCAGGGAGTTGATGACTATGCACTAGATTGAGGCCACAATCTAGTTTCTTTTGGCAGTCTTGGAAGGCTCACTGGGCTTTCACAAACCAACTTCACCTGCCCTCTCTGAGGAAGTTGTCTCTAGGCAGGGCTCCTGGGTTCTCCTATGGGAAGCGTTCCTGTTTATTATAGCAGACCTGGATCACCTGGATCACCTGGTGATCAAAGCAGCCTGTGCCTCCCTAATGACAGAAGCAGCCTCTCAGTTTCTCTTCACTGTCTCACCTTCCTTGGGTGGTCAGAAGCCTAGTTTGTGGTGAACCCAAATCAACTTTGTGGTGGAATTTATGTTTGACCCACTGATCTGGACCTTATCCTTTACCTATAACCACACCTTCTGAACCCTGGGGAAGAGTGCTTATCTGTTAGAACCTTCCAGAAGCTGTGTCACATGAGGCATGTCCCAGCCCTTCATCGAGTGATGTGGCTGGCAAACCAAGGGACTAGTAAGCCCTTACAGAACAAGATCTCTATTCCCTAGCCCAAGATGTTTTCTCTTGTGCTCATGGTCTAGCAATACTAATGACAGCTTGTGTAAATGCTTACCAGCAGTGATGGCTTTGTGGTGTACTGAGTTAAGCATCCACTGGAAACACCAGAATCTCCTAGGAGAACTTGCTTCAGTCCCAGCTACTCCACTTCTGACCCAGTTCCTTACTCATTTCCCTGGAAGAGCAGCCAAAGATGCCCGCACATACCAAGGCTTTGGCCAATCACCTGGGAGATCTGGATGGAGTTCCGGGCTCCTGCCTTCTTCTTGGCACAGCCTAGGCCATAGAAGTCATTAGCGGAATGAATTGGTCAGTGCAAGATTCTCTCACTCTGCCTTTCTGCTTCTCCTTTTCTCTAATGCTGCCTTTCAAATACATAAAAGGGCTTCACAGTTTATAGAAGGATTTCAGAGAAATTTTCTGCTTACTACTCACAGCTTCTTGCATTTCCACATCTGGATGTGATGTGGATGCTCCCATTCAAGTCTTTTGATCCAAAACACATTCAAAAGTCATCATGAATTTATGATATCCAGCTGGCAAAACTGTCATTGCAACACAGACACATGGTGCCAATGTTCATATAATAGGCACCGGTTCAAGTCCTGGCTGCTCCACTTTTAATCCAGTTCCCGGCTAATGGCCTTGGAAAGCAGCAAAGCTCAAGCTTGGATACTTACACCCACATGGGTGACCCTGATAAAGTTTTTGCTCCTGGCTTTGGACCAGCACAGCTCTAGTAGCTTTAGCCAGTTAGTGCAGTGAACCAGCAGACAGAAAATCTCTCTGTTTCTTCTTCTCACTGTAGTTCTGTCTTTCAGACAAATAAAATAAACCTTAAAATAATCCACAGCTTTAAGCAAGTGTCTAGGTTGCCTTGTACCCAAGCAAACGTTACAATGTTGGGAGAAAAGCAGCCAATAACTGGCAGGCATTATAGGCCTGATTAATGAGAAATTTGTGTTAACTATAACAGAATGCCAGCATAATTGCTTATTATTTATTATTGGTGGTGTTGTTATTTCCTATATTTTAAAAAAAGAGAAGTGGAGAAGGCATGGGACATTGTACCAGAACATGCTACCCCAGCCCCCATGTACAGGTGTGGTGCAGAGCACAGATTGCTGGGGAAGCTGTCTAGGGGTGTGTTGGACTGGGAGAAGCTGAAGGTATGTTTGACAGGGAAGGAATGATTTCTGGGGTCATCCATGGATCAGACACTGCACTCAGGATGGGCAAAGGAGTCAGGACAGAGTGATTTAGAGGGAGAACACTGGAAGGCATGTCTGAGTCAGGCTAAGGCATTCACCCATGAGGAAGACCTGGACTGGGCTAAATAGCATCATCTGCTGTTCATGGTGCTTATAAAAGATGAGGCTTGGAATTCAGACTCTGTTGATCTGACTCTGGCAATCCAGGCTCCAGCGCCAGCCAGACATCCA